TGCCCGTATAGTGGACCTCAGTCCTATATAATATTTATATACCTGACCGGTCTCTAACAGCCTGGTTAACAGTTGGGATAGTTCTCAACCCATTCAACTGCCCGTATCATGGACCTCAGTCCTATATAATATTTATATACCTGACCAGTCTCTACCAGCCTGGTTAACAGTTGGGATGGTTCTCAACCCATTCAACTGCCCGTATAGTTGACCTTTGTCCTATATATTATTTATATACCTGACCGGTCTCTACCAGCCTGGTTAACAGCTCGTATGGTTCTCAGCCCATCCGACTGCCCGTATAGCCCGATTGATCTCAACCAAATCGGGGTAACATGCACACATAACACATAGCAAGCACATGCAACCCACATTAACACATTGGGAAGGGGGAAACGTATAAGGAAACATATGCGTGGTCATCCACAACTAAGAATACTCCTAAGGGGTTCATACTTCTTATACCTAGGTCAACGGGATACCAATTCAACTAGCATGCAATATACAAGACTCATTCGACCTACGAACGGTACCCGAACATCAAACTAGACAAAGGCACGATAGGAGGGGTCCGTTAGGACACCACGGGGGTCGGGGGAACGTCAAACGGGGAAGCCGGAAACCCGAGGTAGGGTGTAAACCAGCGGGTAGCCGGTGGGTGAGGGTTCACCCGCCGGCGGCAACTATTCCGGGCAGCGGGTGCCCGGCGGGCAGCTGCTCGCCCGCCGGCGATGCCCAAATAGGCCGCGGGTAGGTGGCGGGTCCCCTACCCCCACCTACCCCCCACTGACTCTTTTCATCACAAAACGCCCCGGGAACCTTCGTGGAACCCGGAACCATGCTTAGACACTTTCAAACGTGATTAATAACAACACGTGGACAATTAACGGATCAAAATCAAGAAACATACGACACATATCCTATCATGCTATTCTAAACATAATCAACACCCGAACATGTGAATTCCCGCCCAATATACCAAGAATTAATACCACACGAGCTTCACGATACAACCTAGGGTTCTAATCCCTTTTAAATCAAAAAGACACGATTCATCTTTTATTATCAAGATTCGGTAGGAAATAACACATAAACATCAAGAACTTCATATAATCATCAAGAACATCACATAATCATCAAGAACATCAAGAACTCCGTTTAATCATCAAGAACCTCTCAAGAACATCAAGATCACCCATGGAATCATAATACCAATTATCAAGATTATTATATCAATCACACAAGAATATGGGGGAAATCCTAAGAAGGGAAACATAGCTATGAAAATAGGGTTTGTTGAGACATGGGTTACCTCTTAGCCTTAATTAATTCCTTGGCTATGAAGGGTCTTTCTTTAAGCTTTCTTCTTTCTTGATTTCTCCTAAGGGGATTCTTGGAACTTCTTGTGTGGTGAGAGATTATTGTGGTGAAAGATCTAGGTGCCTTCTATATCGCTATTTATATATTTAAGACTCCGAATTAGGTCATGAATGGTATGTGTTTACTAATTCTATTCCTTATAGGACTAAGGACTTGTTTTAGGGATAAGGGTCCATGGTAGGGACTAAGGACTAAGGACATGTTTAATTAATTATAGAGAATCCTAATCATAATCTGAATAGTAAAAGGCCTACTTCCTTTATTCCTAATAGGCCTAAGACTCTCATTTAGGCAAGGGTCCACGGTTCATGGTGGACCTCATTAATTAATTAAAGGGAAACCTAACCGAATTAAATCATATTTAATTATTATTAACGGGATTAATTAAATAATTAATCCAGGATTGAAGGCCGTAACACGGGGTGTTACAGTGCAAGAGTCTTGTGTTGACTTCTACTCATGGATTTGAACTTATATAATCTATATCCCGTTTCACAAATGATTTTGTATATATATACACCATCTACATATGATATTTCACATGTATTGGTGGGTTACCAGCATCATTCGCTGACCGGGCTTCGTCCCTTATTTTATGTGTTTCTTTCAGGTGCTGAGTAGACTAGAGCGCGGTCTAGAGACTATTAGATTAGACCCCTTGAACTTTGTTATTTTTTGCCTGTGCGCGATGTTAGACTTTAGTCCTTCTGTCCTTGACTTTATTTTGGATAATGGATTTTGTGCAGATGTTTACGCCTGTGCGTTCACTCTTGAGTGAGCGTGGCTTAGCACTCTATGTTTTACATATATTCCATATCTAGTCTTCCGTTGTGTATGCTTTTATGGTTAGAATTATCTGCATGATTAAGTTTAATTTGGTATGGAAAATATGGGGTGTTACAACCGATGCGTCCAATCCACTGACTCATAATCCAATGTACAAAGGCAGAGAAAAACAATCTCACCCAAGTGCCCCACACAAGGTCAGTACCCAGTGTACAAAGGTTTAGTGGATTGTTGAAGTCAGAGAGCCACGCATTCAGAAGTCCAAAGAAATCCCTTCAATTGGAGAGCTAACTCTGATGCAGTCCGCTTCAATGACGCAGTCCCACGTTGTTCCCACAACTGAGTGATCTTCGCTTCTTTTCGTTTAAGCAACTTTGATACTTCTCAAATTCTTATTCGCAATCACCAAGAACTTATTGTCTTGAGAAGAGGCACGACAATCAGAGATGTGTATTTTGTTTAGTGTATAGTGTTGCGGCTTCAATCAATGCAACACGAACTTCTGAGCGAATAAGTATATATATACATCTTTTGTGACACCCCGTAATCCAAAATCGATTAATGGATTAATTAAGTAATTAATCCTAATTCAATTGGTATCTTAATTCCTAAAAATCCTGAAAATTCAATAGTCAGGGACTAATAATTGACTAGTCAACCCCAAACTCAAGGTTGTCCCCTTACACTTCTTATTTTAGTAAGGGTATTCATGACTTCTCACCTTGTGTTAGTAATGCAAGCTAACCTAGTGGCAATCCTCACTTCTCTCCTTACACTTTCCAAACTTTGGCTCTACCTTCTCTCTAAAAAGGTAGATAGCTTTTCTTCCAAGCCAAGTTGAAGCCTTGTCAAATCTTCAAGAGTTGTCTCCAAGATTCTACCTTTCATACATTTGGGCATCTAGGAGGGTAAGATCTATGTTCATCTTGTGTTTTTAGTGTTTTCTAAGGTGTCTTTTCTTAAAGATAGAATCTTTATGATCATTTGGTGTGTTCTTGAAGTGGGTTGGAAGTAGGGGTGGGAATGGGCCAGGCCCCTACGTAGGGGCCTATGGCCTGGCCTATTTAAGGCTTGGCTTGGCTTGGCCTGTTTAATAAAAAGGCCAGGCTCAAGCCTATTTAAGAGCCTATTTAGTTAAATAGGCTCAGGCCTATATATAAAAGCCTGGCCTGCGAGCCTGCAGGCCTGGCCTGTTTATATAAAAATATATATAAAATATATATTATATATATCTAATTATTATATATATTACATATTATAACTATTATATTTTTATATTTATAATATAGCCCACTATATAAACATAAGTATAGTTGTACAACCCTAGACCCTAGTCAAACACTTAGTCGAGACTCGAGACATCAGACATTTGTGAATTGCGATTTACGGTTCTACAAAAACAGCGAGTCGGCGAGGCGATTTACGGTGCATCCCTGCATCCCGGCGACTCCGGCGAGGCGGTGAGGCGAGTTACTGCACATCCCGGCAAGTCGGCGAGGACAACGGACGTAGGTACGCAACCACTCAGGCGAAACGGAAACGGCGACGCGACTCAGAATTTGCAGCGACTCATGTGAGGTTAGTGATTTACTGCGACTCAGAATTGGCAGTGTCTTCTTCCTTCTTCCCTTATCCTTAACTAGTTGTTTATGTGTGTATTGATGGTTAAGAAGCCTAAGAAGCCTTAGATTTCTCTGTGTTGGCAGTGATTTACTTTGTGTTGTTGGCAGTGATTTACTTTGTGTTGTTGGCTAAGAAGCCTAAGAAGCCTTAGATTTCTCTATTTTCTGAAAAAGATCTCTGCCAATTTGCCTAATTGTTCTTAGTTGTAATAATAATGCATACCAAGTAGTGTTATTTATTAATTTTGCAATAAGATTGTTCTATTCCGATCCAGAAAGTCACTGTCTTCACATGAATTGAACTATAATATAATATGTGTTGGGCCATTTACCTACGACTTACTTTATTCCCATGAATTGTACTTTGAGTATGTGTTAAACTTATATTAGGAAATCATTTCTTTACTGTTCTTAGTTGCTAATTGCTAACTATACCAATAAGCTAATTAATACATTGATTACTGTTCTTAGTTGCTAATTGCTATTAAGCTAAGCTTCCTATCTTAGTTGCTAATTGCTATTAAGCTAAGCTAATTAGGAAGCTAAGTAATAACAGTAAGGCAGTAAGCTAATTAGGAAGCTAATTAGGAATCTAAGCTAAGCTAATTACTGTTCTTATAATTGCTAATAAAATAAGCTAATTACAGTTGCTAAGCTAAGCTAATTACAGTTGCTGATTAGTGATTACAGTAATAAAATAAGAATGTATTAGTTTAGTTGTTTATTCCTTAACTAGTTGTTTATGTGTGTATTGTTGATGGTTAAATATTTATAAAATTATATAGGATGGCAAGTAACAATACAAATGAATCTACTCCTGAAGAAGTTAATGTGCAAGTTACAACTACAACTCCATCAATTTCTTCAAGTCAACCAATTGAAAGTAACAATTCTGAAGAAGTCAATAGGGTTGAGAATGATTCAATCTTAACAAAAAAGCGGAAAAAAACATCTCAGGTATGGAAGGATTTTGATGAAATTGTACTTGCTAATGGTACAAAGAAAGCAGTGTGTTTGTATTGTAAGGAAAAATACTCTACTGGTGGAAAGGGTGGAAGCACTAGATATCTTAAGAGGCACTCAGAGATTTGCTTGCAGTGCAAGTTGCATATCTCTCGAGAAAATAAGCAAACAACGATACAATTTCGTCCGCCTAGTGAATTTGGTGGTAATCCTTTTATTGTTCCTAATGCTAAATACTCCAATGAAAAGATGAGAGAGATTATTGCTTGTGGAATCATGGTGCATGAGCGACCATTTAGCATCGTAGAGGATGACATGTTCATGTGGGGTTTTGAATATGCAAATCCAAATTTTAGAAGAGTTAGTCGTAAAACAGCAAGAAGTGATTGTTTGCAATTGTATGAAGCTGAAAAGAATACTTTGAAAAAGATTTTGAATAATGTGAGTAAGGTTAGCATTACAACAGACATGTGGAAGTCAAGTCACCAAGTAGTTGAGTACATGGTTGTGACAGGTCATTTTGTTGATGCAAGTTGGAACCTTCAGAAGAGAGTTTTGAATTTTGTCAAAGTGCCTCCTCCTCGACGGGGAACAGATATAGCAAATGCTATTTTCAAGTGTTTGAGAGGATGGGGCATTGAGAATAAAGTATTCTCAGTAACTGTTGACAATGCATCTTACAATGACTCTTGTGTTAGAAGTTTGAAAGAAAACATGTCATTGAGCAGTAAGTTAGTACTTGGGGGGCAACTTTTTCATGTTAGGTGTTGTGCTCACATTCTGAATTTGTTGGTGCAAGATGGCCTTAACACTATTAAAGATATCATTCTCAATGTTCGTGAAAGTGTGAAATTTATAAATTCTTCAGATGCAAGGCTAAAGTCATTCCATGAAGTTGTTGAATTAAAAGGATTGAAAGAAAGGAAACTTATTCTTGATTGTCCAACAAGATGGAACTCCACATTCTTGATGTTGTCTACTGCAAGTAAATTTAAACATGCATTTTCAGATTACAATGAAAAAGAGCCACATTATAAGTATGCACCATCATTTGAGGATTGGGACAAGATTGAGAAGGTTTGTAAACTTTTGGAGGTTTTTAATGATGCCACTCATGTCATCTCAGGTAGTGATTACCCTACTTCTAACTTGTACCTAGCTGAAATTCAAAGGGTGAAAAAGGTTATTGATAATGCAGCTGAGTGTTTTGACATGTTTATGAGTGATATGGCAATACCTATGAAAGCAAAATTTGACAAATATTGGGGGGGAGTGTAATTTGTTAATGTCTATTGCATGTGTTTTAGATCCAAGGATGAAATTGAATGGTATTAAGATAACTTTTCCCTTATTGTATAAAACACCAAGTGATGCTGAAAAGAATGTGGAGAAGGTGAAAAAGGCATTAGAAGATTTATATCTTGATTATGTGAACTTGTATAGTCAAGATGCTTCTTCTACTAGTGGACATAGTGAAGTCAATGTTGAAAGCAACACTTTGGTTGATGGTGGACAACAAATGGATAAAGGGATGCAAGAAATATTGAGTATGGTTTACCAAAGTCAATCAATTCCTCTTACGAAATCAGAGATGGAGACTTATCTTGAGGAAAATCTTTTTATTCCTTCTTCTACTTCATCCTTTTGTGCCTTGGCGTGGTGGAAAAATAATAGCCCAAAGTTTAAAATTTTATCAAAGCTGGCTTGTGATATACTAGCTGTTCCTATTTCAAGTGTGGCATCTGAATCTACATTTAGTGCTGGGGGAAGAGTCATTGATGAATATCGTGCTAGCTTAAATGAGGAATCTATTGAAGCTCTTATTTGTGGTGGGGATTGGCTTCGTAACAAATATGGGCTGAAGAAAAAACAAAAGGTAAGAATGTACTTATTACTTTAATATTTTATATTATTTTATATTACTATTTGTTACTTTAATATTCTCAATTTTTTCATTGTGTAGGGGGATTCTGGACAAGAGGAGATTATGTTGAAGCCATGACTTGTTTAATTTTATATTTGAATACTATTGTTGTTATTATGTTTAATGTTTCATGTATGTATTGTGGACTTATGATTTCTGTTGTTGTTAAACTTGTGAATTTGTGGACTTTTGTATTATGGACTTGTAGACTTGAAGTTATCAAACTTGTATGATTTTGTATTATGAACCCCTACTTATTAAACTTGTGTTGTTGGACATTTTATTATAAAATATGAACATGGTTTTGTAGTTTATGATTATTGGTTGATTGTAATTTAATAATATTATTATTTTTTACAGGTGTATATTAAAAGTCTTTAAAATGTAGGCTTTAAATAGGCTTTGAGCCTATTTAAATACTCTCAAAGCCTATTTAGAACCTACATTGAAGCCTTTTTAAAAGCCTATTTAGTAAATAGGCTTTTAAAAAGGCTTCAGGCTAAGCCAGGCCTACTGCAGGCCCAGGCTTGAGCCTAAAAAAAATCTACATACAGGCCCAGGCCCAGGCCTAGGCTTTACCTTTTCCTAACAGGCCCGGGCCTAATTTTTAAAAGCCTGGCTTGGCCTGGCCCATTTCCACCCCTAGTTGGAAGGTGAGCCTTATTAGGAGCTTGGTGAAGTGTTAAGTGAAGGTTTTGGTCTACAAGAGGTAACCCATGCTCTACAAAATCTATTTTGCTTACCTATATGATGATTTCTTGGATCCTACATGTGTTTCTCTATGAAATGTGAGTATTTATGCGTTGTCTTGTGAAAATGCATATCTAGAGCTTGTGTTTAGGGTTCTTGTATGCCATTGCTTGGCTATTCCTTTGATTCAAGTCATTTTGTTGTATTTGGTGAGATTTGGCATGTTTTGGACTTGAATTTGAGCTTGGTGTTGAAAATCCTCGAAGGGATTATTTGGTGTACAGGTACGTACCCGCGGGCGAAACAGCGGGTAGGCGTCTACCCGCCGCCCACCCGCGGGGTACAAGTTGGACGTCTGTACGTACCCGCGGGCGGAACCACGGGTAGGGGCCTACCCGTGGCCCACCCGTGTGGTACGTAATGTGGTTTGGCGGGGATTTGTTCCCCGTGATTCTTTTGACTCGGCATTTGGTCTTTTGACTTCCCGATATTCTTTTATGGAACTATATGAGCGTTTTCTTGATGTTTCGTATGTCTAGAACTATATGGTAGGAATCCATGTAGGTTTTGGTGTCTTGAATCATGCTAAGTGTTCAACATTGTGTTTCGTTGAACCGTGATGAGTCTTGTGTGTTCTTCGGAACTACGTTTGGTTTACCTGTTTGATAAGTATGGTAGTTCGGTGATTAAATGCTAGCTTGTGTGTCGGTTGTACCATCCTATTGGTTGATGATGACTTGTGTTATTCATCGTTGTTGTTGTACTCTGATACACTCTTTGATTGAGTATGGTTTCATATCTTCGTTGTGGTCCATTGATTGATTCTTGTTGAGGTGTGATGTGTGTGTGGCTTTACCTGGATTGCATGATTAATGGTATGGGACACTAGTCACCAATGTATTGCAGTGGTCCTCGTGGTGGCCATGACGTGATTATGGAGTTTGTGACCTTTGTGTAAGGTTCACGTATTTCTTGGGTGGCATGTGTTGCCGTGTGTGTGATCGGTACCCTCGTGTACTATGAAATCGGTGGTTCTGTTGGAGATCTATCGGAGGGAGAAGGTTAGACTTGGTGTACAGGGGTCCTGGACGTAAAGGTTGGAACTAGACATAAGGTTGGGGGTAGCCATAAGGTTGGAACCGGGCATAAGGAAGACATATCAATTCGTGATGGGTGATGTCACGAAGGCTTGTGTAACCGTTGTTGTGAGTTCTTTTCTTGTGATGTGTGTTGTCACAAAGGCATGTGTTGCCATTTGTCATGTCCTTGTGATGATAGGTGATGATAGATGATACATTTGCTATCGTGTGATGATAGATGATACCTTGAGCCGTCCTTGTGAGTCGTTGTTGTTCTTCGTAGTCTTGTGTTGACCTTTGCTCTTGGTTTTGAACCTATATATATATATGTATATATATATGTATATATATATATATGTATTCCGTTTCGCAAATGACTTTACAAATGTATACGTTATCTATGTATGATATTTCACATGTATTGGTGGGTTACCAGAATCATTTGCTGACCGGGCGTCGTCCCATCTTTTATGTGTTTCTTTCAGGTGATGTTTAGACGAAAGCGCGGTTTAGTGCCAGCTAGAGTAGCTCCTTTCTTGTGTTTTGTGGCCTGTGAGCCAAGTATAGACTTAGTACTTTGAACATGTATGGTTTTAGATGTTGAATTATGCAGATATTAGCCCGAGTGTTCATCTCTGGATGAGCGTGGCATTGCACCCCTTTTACTTCCAGTATATATATTCCTCTTTCTGTCTTCCGCTGTGTCTGATATTTTGTTTAGATATCTGCATATTTAAGGCTTTAAATAGCTTGGAAAATTAGTGGGGTGTTACAGTTGGTATCAGAGCCTAGTTTTGAGCCTAGGAGGGTGAAGTCTAGACTTCTAAGTGGCTAAGTGTGGTTTGAGACCTTAAAGTGACCTTAAGAATCTTAGTGTTAGGCTTAGGACTCTAGGTTGCGCGGTGAGCTGAGTGTTGCTTTCAGTTATTTGCTTGCTTGTTGTCTTCTTGGTAACCGTGTTGTTGTTGTAGAAGTTTGCGATGCCTCCTCGTCCACGAGCGCGTACCCCGGAGACCCCGACGAATGAGCAGCTTGCTCAGAACCTGCAGCAGTTGATGCAGACGATGTAGACTCTTAGTGAGGCTTTGCTGAACAACAACCATCCCATGCCACCTCCTCAACCTGCTGGGCACATGGACATGGGTCATTTTGTGTCGGGTCACAGGCCGCCGACCTTCGCGGGTGAAGAAGACCCGGTTGTTTTGGAGGAATGGATGAGAGTGTTTGACAAGATCTTCGCGGTTGTGGGTTGTCCGGAGGAGAGAAGGGTAGAATTAGCAACGTTCTACTTCTATCATGAGGCTGATCTGTGGTGGATTCATGAGGGTCCGACCAACCGTGAAGAGCCTGAGTTCAATTGATCTGCGCTTAAGGATAGGATGCGCGAGAGGTTTTACCTGGCACACGTGTGAGCCGCCATGTACGAGGAGTTCCTCCATCTTCAGCAAGGATCTCTGTCAGTGGTCGAGTACCACGAGAAGTTTTTGGAGTTGGCGCGCTTTGCTCGGATGCTCGTGCATACGGAGCTCGCTAAGGTCGAGAAATTCGTTGCCGGCTTGAATTACGAGGCACGAAAGGCTTTGACTGTGAGCAGGCCGAGTTCTCTTAAGGATGCTTATGTGAGTGCCGCGGATCTGTACCGTGTTCAGCAGCTTCAGCGAGGGTCTTATGAGCTAGCAAGGAAGAGGACCGAGAGCGGAGGTTCTTCCACCGTTAAGAAGCCACGACCAAGTTTTCAAGCTAAGAGTGTGCCATCTTCAACCCAAGGACCCAACCGGATGGAGCAAGGGAATCAAGTGGAAAGGTACATGCCGGTCAGAACTGCAACGGCTTCGTGTTACGATGCTTTCGTTACGAAGATAGGGGTCACAAAGGTTCCGAGTGCCCTCATCAGGCCAATCAAAGGGCGTTACCGCCACCCCCAGGAGCCGGAGGAGCAGCGGGAGGTAGATCTTACAAATATTCCAATTATGTGCTCCTATGTGCTATGTGCAAATATGTTTTACGGGGTGAAGTAGATCTTACAAGCTTAATGCTGAATTTGTGTGTTTCTTTGTTTTCTATTCTTTAATTGTTTTTGCAGGAACTCTTGCATGAGCATTGGACATGAGAATGAGTGAACCACGTAGAGATATCATTTATTAGTTAAACATTTGAATTGTTAGTTGTTTTTGTACTAATACATATTTTGAGTTGTTTATTGTAAATTGTAAATTTAGCCTTAGCGTTTGGGTATAGAGAAATACCTGAGCGTGGCGGTAGCACTCTCCTTTTCTTTTAGTTTTATTTTCGCTTCCGCAGTTACATTCATTTTCAAAAAAAAAAATTGTATGTATTTTTTGACAGTTTATGTAGTTTAAGAAATGGGGGTGTTACACGAGTTGGCAGCCGAGCTTGGGATTCACGCCGGGAAGTTGAACCTCGCTGTCCAGAGTTTGGGAGGCGATGAAGAAGATGAGGGTGAAGCAGGCCATGAGGAAGAAGTGGAAGCACCGGAAGCTGCCGAGGCCGAGGAAAGTGATTTTGAAAGTGAAGAAAACCAAAGAAGATGGGAAGCCCGTACCAAAAGGGTGCATGATGCCATGACGCATGAGGAGCGAGTTGTTACCTTGCTTCGTCAACAGAACCGCATGATTGAAGAAGGCTCCGCGTACATGAAGACACAGTTTGTTGCCGTGCACCAAAGGCTAGATCAGATTGAGTCTAGTTCAAGCCGTAGAGGTGGGGATGATGAAGAATCTGAAGAGGGAACCCATGAGTCGGAGAGTGAGTCGTTCTAGCTCGGTGTTGTAGTGATCTTATTCGCCCTTCCCTTGATGTTGTTATCTTCTTAGTTGTTGATACCGTTGGTAGTTGCTTGTTGTTTGCCTTGTGTACTTGTTCTTGCTTGTTTGTTTTGTAGAGTAGCTGGTTTTGTGGT